CCTATATGCTAATGGCAAAAACAGCAGCTTCATTCCATCTGACATGCCGTGATGTCATGATTGGCGTGTGCAAGTTGGACACATACACACATACTCCCTCCGGTCCTTTTTACTCTGCACATTGGATTTGCCGAAAGTCAAACTTAGCTAAGTTTGACCAAATTTATATTAGAAATTATTAGCATCTATAATATCTAATAAATATAATATGAAAATATATTCCGAGATGAATCTAATGATGTTGGTGTTGTTATGTAAATGTCAATAATTTTTTATATAAACTTGGTCAAAGTTGGATGAGATTGACTTCAGACAAACCTAATATGCAGAGTAAAAAGGACCGGAGGGGGTACCATCTGACATGCCGTGATCAAGTGGATGCACCCTGAGCATCTGCTGGTGAACACATACAGCATTCACCCTCAGAAATCTCGGGTGTGCGTGAACAAACCATACGCTGTACAAGACAAAAAGAAACAGCCACAATTCAGATATTGGTATCGCCAAAATCGAAAAATGTATCATGCACCCAGTGACAGCTGCCTTGTTATAACATCAACATGTAAAGTAATTGAGACACTCCCTCTTAATAAATATGTTTTTTCAAAGCAGCATGAAACATGTTTCCCACAAAAAAAATTGCGACCCTCTATGATTAGCCACTAGTTTCAATACCTGTCCATGTCAAAATCATTGCCTCCAAATATCCATGTGTGGAACCTATTCACCAATGGGATTGGTGGGGGCTGCGGGAGACAACCACTTAACCATTGCTAGCGAAACTTGCTGACATGACAAACCTCCTTTTAGGCAACTTGGCCTCCGTCTGCCCAAAATAAACAACATTTGGCTCTGGATCGCCATTGTCCTACAAACAACGGACGGTGTCGAGCACTGCTTGGGCATAAACTGTAATTCTGTCGAACATAATGTTGTTGTCCTCAATGGCTTGGTGCTTCTTCACAGGATTGTTATACACAGGGCCGCATCATCAAGATTTAATGTCTCCAAATATGAATTTGCAAGAAAAAAGGTTTTGTAAAACCGTCAGGCTGTCCTTGATTCGGTTCTGTGCTCTCATGCTAGACTTAAGACTTCTTTACATCATTCGGTCCCGTGTTTGAAAAAAAGGAGGCCAACAAAAAGGACACAAAAACACACCTCCCATGCCAGATTGAACAAGGCCTCTTCCCTGCATTTTGGTTTCTACAATCCTTCGTACAGCTACCACCTGCATCACACAAGGTTGGCATCATAAATTATAAAAAGGAAAACTGTACACTTTCAGCTCACTATGACATCCACACATTTTACTATGGGCAATTTACATAGCAACGATACCTTCGTCATCAGACATAACAAGACGACGGGCCACCATGGGCACAGTCCTCTGTTGTGCACCTTGTCCCGCTGCATCACACAAAAACATGACAAAAAAAACACAAAACCAGAGCACAAAAAAAGGGATGCATGACTGACGACCTACATGACTAAAACCAATTTGTACTACCACTTACAAAAAAGGGTGCATGACTGTCGCCCAGCTGACCGCACCTTAAACACTGTCTCACCATTTAATTAGCCTAATTACCAATTACTTTTCGCCTGGCCATTAATTGGATTGATTTGACAAATACATCTTGCCTCCAACCACCTGACGATTTTGTTTTTGTTATTTCTTTAAGATGAACATCAAATTTAACCTTTAATTTCATGCATACTAAGCCAACAAACACACTTTCATTACGAATATTAGTTGCACAAACCGAGGGTATACAACACACACTTAAACTTGGTCGCTACAAAAGGTACGTCATCAGCAAACACCCACTCCAGCTGCATCTACACGATTTGATATACTTGATAGCTAACCTAGGATTCCCTTCATCGCAGTTAACGCCTACGCAAGCACACGCATGACCACATCGGCCACCACAAACACAAGGATTGCAACGCCAATGACGAGGTTCGCCACAGAGACCACCAAATTGATGGATGCAGCGTCAACACCAGCGGTCCCCTGGCGCCCAGCAGTAGGGAGCGCGGCGAGAATGTATCCTGCAACTGCGCAGACTGAAGAAATGAACTGCGTGCCCTCAGGCGCGCCATTCCGCCGCCCCTGTGGTGCGTGCGGCAGCTGTATATCTTGAACTCCCAGTCCTTGCCCGCCTTGCTCCTCCGGTGGCTGGATTTGCGCCAATTGTGGGGCGGCAGGGCCAAGCGAAGCGAGATGGTCGGCGTAGCCGTGTTGCCACCGGTAGAAATTGCATCCCCTGCGGGACGGCTGAATTTGACCGGCGAAAAAAGAGATATTCAACGGATCCGACGAGAACGATGCAGAAACTAGATGCTTACGTTGTGATTCCGGGCAAGTCCTGATTGGCAGGGGCGCCGGATCACCACCTTGATTTGCATCTGCCATCTCCTCTCGCACTGCTGTACCTTGCTCCCGATTTGGGGATCTGTCGCGTATGCGCTTAGGGTTTGCTTTCGATTTGGGGATCGATTAGTCCAGACTGGCCCCCCGTGGTAGCTGGTAGTGACGACCCCGTTTGGACTTCCGTTACACGTTGCTACAGGACATAACGTCGCCGCTGCTGCTTGGACGGCCGTCGCCTCGCGCCGTAAAACGGCATCTCTCATCGTCCACGTCTCCCATTAATTACCCGTCGTCTACGATCCTAAAATACCGCACGCGCTTCATATCCCAGGCTGATCGACGCCCAGTGATATCGTGGGCAGGCGAGCCCGGGCACGCCAACGGATTTTCGCCAACACAGTTGCTTCTTTATACTAAATATTTTCACTTTTGTAGTTTGTCCCATCACTAGGATTATGTTTATTAATAGATACATTCCTTACTATATTATTGTGTAAACAACATTTTTCTTTTCCTACTAGTGTGACAAATCCACACATTTAAATGTGCCGCAAAAACATAAGATACCATGTTCTATGTTACACTTCTTTTTAACTATTTGTCATTACGGCCACATATTCTCGCCCTAGATTGAAATCTTTGTTTTCATAAAAAGAAATCATTTAAGTTCAGGGTGGATATTTACGCAAACTGTTACACCAAGTTTCTACATATGTCTAAACAAAGTAAACACTTTCATCTACAAAACTGCTTTGTGGCACTTAATGTTATATAGTCTATATTTACAACCACTTGTAAATAGCATATGTGGTATCCTTTTAGAGTGATATATCTCGTTAGAGTATTCTGGTGTGTTCGAGCCTACCGAATATATTAAGAGAGATTTACACAGTACAGATGTGTCAAATTATGAATAATCACATATTGAATTCTATAACAAAGTGATTTGTCCTCAAATCACCTACATGTGTCGGCCCTTAATTGTTGGGGATTTCTTTGCCAAATATTCCCCTCCTTCATGGGGCTTAAACAATACAACTACCGATCCACCCTTTACAGATGAGCCCAAAACACACACACACACGCACACGCACGCATGCCGCACGCACACAAGTGATGGGTTTGGCAGCCTGTCGATTACTTCGATCTGGTTAGGATTGTGTAGTCTCATTCCTTCTTCCCTACATATCTAAGTTTATCAAATCTACGAGAGGTGTTGTTGCGGCCAAGGGACGTCTTGCAAACTCCAAGTGTCATGTTCATTCTTTGTTCACTGGATTTTGATGGCGCAAAAGTGTTAACAATGATGGAGCGTAAAGTCGTCAGTATCCTCGGTAGGGTGCCGAACATGGTCGGAAGTACTAGAACCGAGCCCGCACACATAATTTACCCAGGTTCAGGCCACTAGTGAGGAGTAATACCCTACGTCAAGATGATGCTTCACCACTGAGCCAGGCCCCTAGACTGGACACTTGGATTAGACCGTCGCCAGGCCTCCTGGGCCTTGAGGCCGGCCCAGTATCGGGCTTCTGGTCCATGCACCACCCCTGATACGCATATGCTGCACTGTCAATTGGTTCTTTGATGAAAAAGGAAAGTAAAGGAGATGATTGATTCCCTCATTTTGCAAAAAAGGGAAATATGTCGATGTATCAAAGGGCTCAAAGGTTTTTTAGTTTTATTTGAGTCTTAGGAAACCCGCAATATAATAAGGGGTTGAGGTGGTTGTGTAAGTGTGGTGATCATGCCAACATTCAAATAGACGGAGCCCCCACTTATCCTAACAAAATGGGTTAAAACCCTTCTCAAATCTCTATGGTGCACAGACCCCCAACTCCCAGGTCCGGTGGCTTTACCTCTGGACACCTCAGGGCTTTGGGGTTGCGGTGGTTTCACCTCTAGTGAGGTCGAGCCTCCAGGACAGACTAACCCTAACCTTCAAGGTCTCGGGCCCCAGACCCTTTATCTCGGGCCTCCTTGGTCCACAGGGGTTGCAACTGTTGGATTTGGGGAGGGGTATAGATACCAACACTTCTTCTACCCCAACCCTAATCTTGCACTCAAGCTTCTCCAAGACTGCCAAACCCTAAAAGGTAAAGCCCCTTTTATTCCTCCAACCGAACTTAATCACATTTTGAGGATTGAAAGAGGAAGACCCTATCTACACTTAAACTAAACCAAATCGTTATCCCATCACTTGTTCATCACCAAACTTGTTACTCTTGGAGATTTGGAACTCATGTGTGATAGGAGTCAAGCCCAAAAGCTTCCTTGAGTTTGGTGTACTCCAAGAAGTTTGTAAAGGTCCAGTGGTTGCCTTCTAGACCAACCACTAGTGATTTGAGGCTCATCCGTTGGGGGTGATTCAAAAGGAGAAAGGGGGTGAACCACTTGGTGGCGCTCGGGAAGACTTGGCTTCTTGCATCTCTCAATTGAGAATTAACACTCCCAAAGAGTGTGAACTTCGGGATACATCCTCGAGTCCAACTTGTGTGTTTAATCCATTTTTATACATTTATTTTTTGTGCTTGTTAGTTAGTTTGTTGTGTTATCTAGAGAACTTACTTTATCCGCACTACCCCTAAGATTGGAAGAAAAGCTTAAAT